TCAGTTTCCTTACCGACGAGAAGACGGGGCTGGACAAGGTGACTGTGGAATCCTGTCTGACCACTGCCGCAGCGAGGCTCCCGGAGCCCTCAGGAGCTGGCTGTCATCACACAGCCGATGGAGAGAGGAACGTGGGGTGTGGGTCCCGGGGCAGCTCGGGGCTTCACCCTCTCAGCTATTTTTCCTGGTGGCCGTGTCTGCCATCAGTTTGGTTGGATTCGGCTGGAAAACGCTGAGCTGACCACGGGGAGGATGATCGTGGATGGCTGCCTCTCGCAGAAGGGCCTTTAGCTGGAGTTGGGAACGGCTTCTGTTTAACCTTGGCCCTTCCCCATCTGCTCCTGGCCCCCCAGAGCAGCAGACGGGACCATGAACTCTTCTTGGGCTTCTGCTGATTCTGGGCTGTCAGACAATAGACTGTGAGGCCACGGGTGGGCTTTCCAGCTGCAGCCGAGGGCATCGTAAACCACCGTGCAGCAGAAGGGCCCGGCTGAAGGAGCCTGGTGTGGGGCCTTCCCGGCAGCCGCCAAAGCCTGTGTCAGCCTCAAACCCCAGGGGCCGAGTCACTGCCCCAGTGCGGCCAGCCACAGAGGCCAGCGCAGCCCCGTCTGCAGGCCTTCATCCCTGACAGTGCCACTCACACATGTGGCCCTGTGCCCGGCCTCGGGAGACCCGAGCAGGAACCCACAGGCTTCCGGACGGCAGCAAGCTTCTGCCTCGCGGGGGAGGCGGTGTGTGTGCAGATACCGCTGCCCAGCAGCCCTCCCGGCCCTCCCACTCCTAGCTGCCAAACTGGCATCAGGTGACTGCCTCTGTCTGTGCCTCAGTTTGTCACCTGCAAAATGGAGGTAGTAACAGCATCTTCCTGAACTGATAGATGTTAAGTCACCGAGAACCACGGCTGGCACTTAGTAATGGCTATTATCACCACCATCGTTTTTACCAGCCAAACACTGAGCTTGCTTTTGGGGAGAATTCCGGGAAAACGCTGAGAGTGACTGAGCCACTCTGGCTGCAGGGATGGGGCTGGACTCACGCAGAAAGGTATGTTTGAGCTGGACTTCAGAGGGTGACTAGGATTTCAACAGCTGAGGCCGGGAGCAGGAGTGACACAGGAAATGCACTAGGGTGTGAAGACGCGCAGAGGGTGAAATGGCGGACGGAGCTGCAAGGTCACGTAGGGCGTCAGAGCCGGTGTGTGCGTAACGCGGGGCCGCCTCAAATTTTTAGTGGGAGAGTGGCAGTCAGCTTCACATTTAAAAAGCTCCTCTGGCAGAAGGGAGCCGCTGAGTGTGGGCTCCAGGCTCAAACCGCCGGGGTTCAAAGCCTGGCTGGGATGCCAGTTTGCTCAGGGAGGCCAAAGGGCTGCACCACGTCTGGGGGGTCAGACACGGCAGGTTCTTTCTGGGTCACACAACGGTCCAATGAGGGTGCTTCCTCTTGGCGGGGGGGGGGTCCCATGCTGGCTGAGGGACCCCCCGGCTCCTTGGGACCTGGGACACTGTGTGGCATGGAGCTGGTGGAAGGGTCGAGGGCCTGTGGGGGAGACAGGCTGGCTGTTCTCTGAATCCTGTGGCCTGTCCCACTGCTGCCCACCTTGCATGGGAGAAAGTGGGTCACTCGGCCACACCTGCTGCCAGGGCGGCTGGGACACAGCCTGGTGACGTCCCTGGCAGTTCTCCTGTTACTACAGGACAATGCTGTCCCACAGGACTCTCTGGATGGTGGAAGCGTTTGAAGTCTGTGCTGCTGGAGCAGTGGCCACTGCCAGTTGGTGACACAGAGCTGAGCTTTCGACTTTATTAACTTGTAGTCGATTTAAATTTAAATAGCCACACGTGGCTAATGGCTACAGTATTGGGCAGCCCTCGAGAAAGGAGAGGGGCTTTTGGTGGACAGATAGGTCTCCGCCACAGGTGTTTGGTAACCGGCTGTGACCGGGCCACCTGAGATCTCTGTCTCACGCTCCTCAGCTATGAAATGGGTACAGTAGTGCTGTCCACATCTTCAGGCTGTTGTGAACATTACGAGAATGTGAGGACAAACCCCTAGCGCCTGGACATAATCAGCTGTCCCTGAGGTTAGCCTGTGGAGACTGGAGGCCGTGAGGGGCATGCACATCAGCCAGGGGACACCCCTGCACAGCACACTCTTCCCTGCGCCGTGCTCTCTGCTGGACACCCGTCCTTCCCTTGTCAGCCTAGTGAAGCTTCACCCTGCCACCCTGTTCAAACGCCACATGTCCACACAGGCCTCTGACGTCCAGTCTCCGAAGGTCCTGCTCCTGGCTGAGGCCTCTCGTCCAGCTGCCTCGTGCAGTTGTCTGCACAGGTGTGTTTCTTGTCCATCCCGACCTTCCGCTCCACCCAGCAGAGCTCTGTACACTGTGGGCAGCACACGTCCGTAGCCCTGAGCTGAATGCCTCGGGGGCAGGGAAAAGTGCCCGGACACGGCCTCTGGACAGGTAGCTCTGTGATGGACAGGTAGCACTGTGATGGATGGTAACACTGTGAGCACACCTGCACAGCACCAGACCAAGAGGGCCTTGGCGGTGACCCCGCCGTTGAATCTCACAGACGCCCAAGCGGGAATGTCCAGGCCGCCTCGTGGCCTGTGGTTGGCAGAATCCTTTCTGACATTTGCACAGTTTTCATTCCCCGACATCGCTCTGCAAAAATAGCCTTTCGGTCCACATGCCTTTGCCATGTGTCTTTCCCCACTGTCTGCTAGGCCATTGCTGGCTCAGTTCCTGACCAGAGACGGCCAAGGCGGCTGGAACCACTCAGTCTGGCTGCCTGGACGTGGGTCCAGCGATCGCTCGAAGGGCTCAGTGACAACAGAGTCGCAGGGGACCCGTCCCGGGGTTTACATGGCCCTCGGCAAGCCTGACGGCACCTCGGGATTATCTGGTGCCTTTTTTACATCAACCTCAAAATCTTAATGTTTCCCGAAATACCCTAGACTCCTTAAGAGTTCATTAATGTTTTCATTCATCGGTGTATCTAGAACTTTCCATTCATGTATTCATTAATGAGCATCTGTTGAGCTAAGCTCTGTGCCAGTGCCATTTTGGTGTTTAGAATGTGAAATGGACAAAGGTCCTTTTCGAGAACTTTCATTCCAGTTGGGTGGGAAGAAAGTAATGTAACAAACGCATGTCAGATGTCTGTATGTTCCTTGGGAAAGCGAGGCACCTCGTCTCTATGGCTTCACAACAGCTCACCCCAAACGTCAGTGGTTGAAAATGACCGTTTATGGTTCCTCAGACACCTGTGCATCGGCTGGGCTCACCTGCACGTCCCCAGGCCACTCGAGAGGCTGTAGTGGGCTGGGGACCCGCTGGGGCTGCAGGGTCCTGGAGGGCCTCAGCCACGTGTCTGGGCCTTGAGCTGGTGTTTCTCTCTACACGGCTGCCATTGTCAGGAGGCGAGGCCGGGCTTCCCGCCGTGGTGCTGGGAGCAGCCCCACCAGGAGGCAGGGGCTGCAGGGCCACGTGCGACTTAGGACCAGGAAACCCGTGTCACTTCCGCCGCATCCTGGGGGTCGGTGCCAGGCACAAGGCCAGCCCAGTCTCGGAAGTGGGGAGGTAGAGGCCATTTCATGACAGGAGAAGCTGCGAAGGACCCGCGGGTCCCTCCCCCAGCTTTAGACACACGATTGGCATTTGTGTAAGACGAAGGTGTACGGTGAGCGTGTGTTACACAGGGTTGGGGACAGAATGACAGGCCTGCAGACGAGGTGTTATCTGGGCAGGGACCTGAGCGCAGTGACGGGGGAGCCGTGGAAGTGGCCGGCAGCGTTCCAGTGGGCAGCGGGGTGAGCAGCTGAGGCCAGACCCGGCAAGTCTCCTAATCATGTGGTCGTGAGACGTTCGGGCGAAGACACTCGTGGTTCCTTTTGGGAAACCCAGCTCTGCGTGGGCCGCAGGAGAGAAGCCCCAGATGGGCTGAGCCAAGTTCAAAGGGGACACGACCTGGGCCCCTGAGAGCAGAGGGTGAGCCCTCCGTGTGACCTGGGACCAGGGGCTGTCCTTGCACTCACCCTGCTCCCCCAGCCTGTTTCTGGGCACCTCCTATCACCCCCGACCCCGGCACTGTTCTGTCACAAGCGGTTCTAATGAAAATCACGTTTGCTCCTGGTCTCTTCCGTGTCCCCTCCTCCTCTTCTGTGGTCACCACAGAGGGTGTGAAGGAGACCCCTTGAGGAGGGAACCGCAGGGACCGAAGCTGCAGTTGGGACGGACGGGCGTCCTTGCACAGATGCTTCCCGCCCGGGGGCAGACTTTCCTGTAGGACAAATTCCTGGAGTTGGGCAACTGGGGATGAGTCAATTAGAAAAGATAGTGACAAGTCTCGTCTGAATGGCTGTGCAGACGAATTCCCTCCCGCCGCCTGGGAGAGTGCTGCCTCCGTCATCCCGGCCCACCTGTGTTGCTACCACTTGTAAAATTACCTCCACGGTTTCTGATTTTGAACGTGATGTATGTGCATCGTAAAAAGAATAACTGAGAAATGCTGAAAAGGCTAAGAGAGAATAAAGGTGAGCTGTCACGCCATCACCCAAGGTAAGAGGCACTGTCGTTTTCATAGACGAGGACAGCAGAGGCCGCAGATAGCCGAGGTCGTCACCTGAGGAACCTTGCAGAATCCTGGCAGCTGGTGACAAGGTGTTAAACACCTTCTCCCCTCGGCCCCTCCCCAGTCTCTGATGTCTCCAGAGGCTTAAGATATTTCCTCAGCCAGTGGGGCTATTCTGAGGCGGCCGGTTCCCGTGTCCACATCCCCGAAGTGTCCGCTCAGAACAGCTCCGCTTGTCAGGATGGCTGGGGATTTGTGGACTGGGAATATCTATCAACACGCCCGGATCGCACGTCCTGGCGTTAGCAGCTGGGTCCGACGTTGGAAAGCCACCTGTCTGCCAGTGTCCAGGCCCAGCTCGCGTTCCTCAGGCCCTGACCTGCCTGCGGGCCGCCTGTGATCACCTGTCTGCTTGTCTTCCAGAGACCTGAACCACAACCAGCTACGGGAGTTCCCAGTCGCCATCCGGACGCTGGGCAGGCTGCAGGAGCTGTAAGTGTGTCTGCTGCCCTTGCCCCGTGCCTCCCAACATCCTGGGGAAGCTGTAGCCCACACCCTCCGAGCCCGGGCAGGTCCAAGTGGTCAGTCCTGCTAGCTTGGCTTCGAGCTTTTCTGAGGGTGTCAGCAGCAGAAACAGCCGTGGGCCCTTCCGGCCTGGGAGACACATGGCATAAGCCATCCTGTTAGGCCAGGACTGGCACCACCCCTGCCTCGGTTGGGGCACATGAGGGACTGGGGGCTGGCCTACGGGGTCACCTCCAGCACTGGTCCTGCCGAGAAGCTGCCTCCAGTATTCAGAGCCGCCGCTGTGGTGAGCACACACGGGAATAAGACAGACACGGGCTGCCCAAGGGTCCTCCAGGCCCGTCCAGGACACAGACTAACACAGTGAAGCAGGGGCCAAGACCAAGCCCTTAGGGTCGGTGTGTAACTCTGGCCCTAAATTGTACGGTAATGGCTAAAACAATCATGACGCGGAGCAGCAGAGCGAGAAGGCTGTGGACTGCTGTGTGCTGACACGGGCATTTAGGACGCCAGGATTTGGTGGCAGTGATGGGAGAGGGAAGGCATGTCAGACAGAAGAACAGTGCCGGTGAAGACCAGACAGGCAGACGGATGGCCACGGGGGGCAGGAGGGAGGTGGCCCCGCTGGAGGGGAGTGGGGCCAGATGAAGGGAGCCCTGGGCTCTCAGTGGCTTCACTCACCTTCAGTTGGGAGGTGTGAAGGCCGGATGGACAGAGCAGATAAGGACCCGCTGAGGGAAGGGCTTGAGGCGTGTGTGTCTGTCTGTCTCTGTCTCCACATCTATGGAGAGAAAGCTGCTTGGGGACAGGGCCTAAATCTGCAGTGTCACTCAGCGTAGTCCCAGAGGCTGTGTTCAGAAACACGAGAGAGCAAATTGGCGAAGGCGTGGCTGCGTGAGCAGTGGCCTGGGTGGGGCCCGGGCTGGAGGTGTGGAGGTGAGCGCGGGTGAGAGGAGAGTGTGAGGAGACGGGAGAGGCGAGGGGAGGGGGCCGGGGAGACCCAGAGAGCCAGCAGCCCTGTGGGCCCCGGGATGGGGACCGCTCCCGGGCCGGGTCGCGCACGTGCTTCTCAGCCTAGCACGGCCCGCGACGGGTCCTCCCCGGCTAACCAAGGCTTACGCCTCCAGAGCCGCAGACACCGGCCGGGCGCCACACTCCTCATTCCCCCAGGGCCACCAGGGCTACCAGTCAGGCAACATCCTGCTCTGTGGCTTGTCCTGCTGCCACCTCGCTTCTCTGTCCCTTAGTTTTAGGGGCCCCTGGGAGCTCTGCCTTTCCCACATCCTCCTCCCCCCACACCCCCTCAGCTCCCTCCTCGGGGACCCTCCAGGGCTCCCGCCCTCCCGCCCCGAGTGACTGAGGACGCCCCTCGGGGCTTCCTGAAGCGCCCCACCCCCAGCCTGTCACGTGGGCCAGGGACTGGCGGGTGTTTTGTTGGACAGGAAAAGCCTGAGGCAGGGCTGAAGCTGGAGTCTGCGGGCGGTGCCCCTGGTCTCATGTCCTCCCAGTCAGCGTTAGACAGCCCCATCCGCCCCCTGTCCCCTCTGCACGCCTCTGCCCTGTCCTCACTGACCCCTGACTTGTGTTGCAGGGGTTTCCATAACAACAACATCAAGGCCATCCCAGAAAAGGCCTTCACGGGGAACCCTCTGCTGCAGACAGTGTGAGTCCTGCTCCTCTGGGCCATGTTGAGGGGGGAGAGGCAGTGGCGGGGGCGCCTTTGGGTCTCCCTGGGGAGAAGCAGAGACGGGCCCGCTGTGGCCTTGCAGGAAGGGTTGCATCGCCGACCTCAGCGTGGGTCTCTCTTCCAGGTACTTTTATGATAACCCCATCCAGTCGGTGGGAAGGTCGGCGTTCCAGTCCCTGCCCAAGCTTCACACACTGTGAGTTGGCACCAGCAGACTCTGCCCCGAACGCACGTGCCAGACCTGGTGGCCTTAAGCCCCCCGCACCCCGTGGCTTCTTCCTGGACACCAGATGAGTGCTGAGGGCCCTGGTCCACCGCCCAGGGCTTGGCGTGTCCTCCCCAGTCCTGATCCACGGACACCTGCGGGAAACTGGACCGGGCGAGCGTTCCGGTTCTCTGGTGACCTGGGCACATGGCTCGCCGCCCCCCCCCCCCCCTCTGCTGCCCCACGCTTACTGCTTTGTTTCCTGCCTCCCATTCGTTTAATTCCTGGCCCAAGTCCCACTTCTTCCCAAAAGCTTCCATGCTGCCCTCGGCACATGGCGTCACCGTGACGTCACCAGCATCTTCGAAGCTCACGCTTTACCTCTGTGTTCGCTGTCACATCCCCTCCTCCCCCGGACACTGCAAGCAGGCTGTCTGTACATTTGTTAGATGCCTCCTAAGCCCCCCGGGTCCTGCTCGGACATGTGCCCCGGAGCCTGGACGCCAGGCCCCACGCTGCCTGCTTGGGGTCCGACAGCACATTTCTCTGTGCTCCTGATGTGGGCAGGTCCACATGGTCCATGTCCTCACAGGATGGGGTGGTAGGGACGGGAACCACCAGCCTGAAGCAGCCAAGAAAGAATCAGTACAGAGGTTCTGGTGAAGGCCCAGCAGATGACAATTTAGGGGAGACCCACCCTGGGCTCTGATAGCAAACCCAGCAGCCCAGGGTCTTCTCAGAGGCACCTGAGCTGTAACCCCTGACACAGGCAACCCCCTGCCCCCAGTTCCTTGCCTGTGCTTTTTGCTTGCTGGGGCCTGAATGCTGAGGCTGCCGGTCCGTCTGAGCTGGTGGCCGCTTGGACCCTGCTCAGCAGAGCCAGCCTGCACCAGGCCTGGGAGCCGGGCTGCCTGAGGGAGCGTGGGGCAGGGAGACACTTCCCCAGACGGCCGGGCGCTGCATGTGGACGTGCTCTGACCCCGAGCTGTCGGCTGTGTTTCCAGGTCCCTGAATGGAGCCGCAGACATCCAGGAGTTCCCAGACCTCAAGGGTACCACCAGCCTGGAGACGCTGTGAGTGGTTCTGTCCCCCCACTTCTCACCGGGGCGCTTCTGTCTGCCTCCCCAAGGCTTCCTGACACTTTGCTTGCCCCTTATCTGGCCCAGAGGTCACCTGGCTCGGCCCCAGGGGCCATGGCCACTGCCAGGTGTGGCACTGCCACCGGTGGTTTGGGGGTGAGGAGGCGGGCCTTCCGTTTTCACTGTGCTTGGGTTTTTTAGGGGTGACTTCGGAGTTCCCAACCCCAAGAGCGGGCGCCAAGGTCCCGTGCTGGGGGAGGGGCTGTGGAAACCGGTCCCCTCTGCTTTTCTGAAGCTTGATTCCAACACAGACTTCCTCCTGTCTGCTGTCCTTACACCCTGTGGAGCAGGTGCAGGGCTGTCAGAGCTCAGGAGGCCCGAGACAGTTTCAGAGAATGAACGGAACAAGCGAGCAGCCCCCTGTCCCGCCCACGGCACACAGCTCATTTATGGACCATGTGCCTCTGTGGTGTCCCCTAGGTTCGCTGGCACCTGGAAAGTTTTCTGTGAGGGCAGGACCAGTTCCCCAAGGATGGCCTTGGGTCTTTCCTGGGACACCCTGTCCCTGAGCCAGCCCACTCCCCAGCCTGCCCCGTCCTCCCCACCCCCCCACCCCCAGGGAGCCCCCTCTGTGCTCGGTTCCCACTCCACCACACGCTTCTCCAGCTACTCCCTGCCCGTGGCCGCCTGTCCTGTCTAAGGAGAGCAGGGAAGGTTCTAGACGCTGCTGTAGACCCATTGCTGCTGGCCTCCATTATGCGACACTGGGTGGGGACACAGTGGGGAGCAGTGAGTGGGACTGGCACACAGTGGTGCCTCCCTGTCTGCTCCCCACCCCCGCCCTGTGCCTCCCACGGCCTCCCTTGTCAGCTCTGCTCCCATGTCTGTGTTGAGCCAGAGCTGGAGTCGGGGGGCTGGGGGGGCTGGGCCCGTCCGTGTCAGCTCTGTGCTCCCCTGCAGGACCCTGACGCGCGCCGGCATCCGGACGCTGCCGCCAGGGATGTGCCAGCAGCTGCCCCGGCTCCGAGTCCTGTGAGTGGCTCACGTGCCCTGTCCAGTCCCACTTCTGTCCCACTCGGTCACCGCTCTCCCTGGAGTGGACCGCTTGGGCTGCTGCTGAGAGCCTGCCTGGGAGGGGCTGGGCTGTCCTCTCCTGTTCAGAATGAAAGGACAGTGGCCTTGGGAGCCAGGCGTGGGTTCGCCGCTCACCAGCTGTGTGAACTTGGACTCACTCTTGAACACCTCAGAGCTCTGACTGCAAACTGGGGGTAAATTTGTGAGGGCTGAAAAATACAAGCAAAGCACCTAGCTCATGGTAGGTGCTTAATAAGGGGTGTGATTACTCTGGTTTACGCTAGAAAATTAACCCCTCTGGAGTCGTGGAGGTTTTTAAATGTCCCCTCCTGACTCCAGCCTCCCCCAGGATGCAGTCTCCCCTTTTCCCCCCAGAAGGATGGGGGCCTAGTGCCCGCTCGTGGAAGAGCCAGTCTGGGTGTCCAAGACGTGGGCTCCAGCCCCAGCCCTCCCTGCACTGACTGGCAGTGTGTCCTTGGGCAGGTCCTGTCCCTCCCTGTGCCTCAGTTTCCTCCTCTGTCAGGTGAAGGGGTTGGGTCTGATGGTCCGTAAGGCGCCAGCACTGACCTCCTTCCTATCAACTCCACACATGGTGACGCTAGGTGCTGGTCACTGGGGCTGGTGTGACCAGCTTGCTCAGTGACCTGCGTGTCCCCTGCACCGCCTTCTGCCTCTCGCTTCCCGTTCCCCTCCCCCCAGGACCCTTGGGGTCCCTCAGGCCTTCTCATGGCTGAGGCAGCCCCACAGGCAGTCAGCCCCACCCAGGCCTGTGGGCGGCGTGGCTTCAGCAGGGGCTGCAGCCCAGTCTGACCGAGAAGGTGGACCCGTGTGAGGTGTCCGCAGCCATGTCCCGAGGGAAGCACAGCCCTGGTCAGAGCTGCTCCCCTGGCCCCGCCTCACCCTGGCCTTGGCCTGTGTCCCCAGGGAACTGTCCCATAACCACATCGAGGAGCTGCCCAGCCTGCACCGGTGTCAGAAGCTGGAGGAGATGTGAGTCTGGGGCCGGGAGAGGCGGAGGCATGCGGCCGGCCTTGGGCAGGCCTGAGGGGAGGGGCTCCGTGCTGACCTCCATTCCCTGGGGGCCGGAGGGCTCGAGAGCTTGAGCAGATATGGGCCTGGAGCCGGTGCCCAAAACAGGTCTCAGGGTGGCAACAGAAATGCGATGGTGGTGAGGGCCGGCCGAGGGGCAGGCCATGGTGGGCCTGGACCCCAAGGGAAGCGTCAGGACTGGACGTGCCTGCGTTTCAGAGCTCACGCTCTCCTTTTGCACAGCCCACCAGCACTTACACACAAGAGGCCTGGGATTCAAGTCTGACAAGGAAAGGGTCTCCCACATCGTCCTCCCGCTGTCCTCCCCCAGCCCTGCTTTCGCCGGCTGGCAGGGCCTCCTGAGCCCGCTGTGTCTGTCCCCTGCTTCTCGGCAGGGTGATGCCTTTTGGGGCCAGGGCATGGGGAGTGTCAGGGTCTGTCACGTTTGTCTAGGTGCCCAAGGGAGGAGGGTCTTCAACACGCGGAGGCCCCGGGTCCATCACATTCAGACAACCAGTCCACTGAGCTCTGCTGCCCGCTGGGGCCAGCCACGGCCGTCCAAGGGCCGGGTGGTCTCTGCCGCTGGACCCGGGTCTGGAGGACCCACGGGGCAAGATCGGCTGGGCAGGGAGCCAGACCTAGTGGGAACCCTGGAAACACCCCCTTCTGGACCACAGGGACGGTTTTGTGGCTTTGTCTCCTGACCCACTTACCCGAGGCAACCGGGTCCCCTGCGCTCCCTTCAGTTCTGATGACTTCCACGGGCTGGGAGAAGGGGGGGGCCCGCCTTTCTTCTGCCCAGTGTGGGGGGGGCATGGAGTGGAGACAGGGCCCGTTGGTCATCCACCTCTCTTGCCCTAGTGGCCTCCAGCACAACCGCATCTGGGAAGTGGGAGGTGACACCTTCAGCCAGCTGAGCTCCCTGCGGACGCTGTGAGTACCACAGCCCGGGGGGCGGGGGGGCGGGCGAGCCCTCTGGGGGGCTCAGACCCCTACACTTGCATCCCTGCCGTGCACACAGCCTCCTGCTCCACACCCCCATCCCCAGCGCACACACACAGGAGCGCCTGCCTCGCCATCCAGAGGGTTTCTCAAGCCACATCCCCAGTGGGTGCCCAGGGGGCCGGGAGGCTCTGAAGCCAGGCTGCCCTAGCCCTTCCTCTGGGGCCACAACCAGGTCGGGAGCCAGGCAGCAGGCACCCTCCCCAGAGGGCAGAAAGCACTGCTACTGGGGCCAGCTCAGACGGGGTCAGAGAAGGAGAACCAGATGGGAGCAGCGAGTCCTCCACGTGTCACTGTCCCCTCCTGTCACACCCTCTCCGCCTGTAGGGACCTGAGCTGCAACGCCATCCGGTCCATCCACCCCGAGGCCTTCGCGACCCTGCGCTCCCTGATCAAGCTGTAAGTGCCCGCTGCACCCCGTGTTGGATGCTGCAGACCAGTCGGGGCTGTGGGCTGGCCGGGGGGCAGGAGAGCCCACCCTGGAGTGGGGACCTGCAGAGATATCTGACCACACATCCAGGGACACGGCTCCAGCCTCATCAATCATCGTGACAGTCCGTTTGACAGACCATGAGGCCTGATAAACACAGAGCTGGCCTCCCACAAGCTCAGGGACATCATCTGCTGATGTTCTGCGGTGGTGCCTTTCTTGTACCACTGGCAGAGGTGGGGGCCAGGGTCCCCCGGTGGGCAGATGCACAGGAGGGCGCTGGCAGAGGTGAGAGCCAAGGTCCCCGCCGAGCACTACTCCAGAGGGCTGCCATTCTGTGGGCAGCAGGGACCACAGGCCCCCTCGATTACACAGGACATAAGCAGGGAGCAGCTCGCGCTGGCTGCATGGCCGTGATGTCAGCGCTGTAAGGGGCCCCTGACGGCGGCCACACTGTGGCCCAGGCTAATCACTGCCCAAGGGGGAGCTGCCTGCCTGCTTGCCTGCATGTCCTAAAGGCGTGTCCCCCAAATGGGGCCCTTTTCTGATGAACACGAGACCCCATGGGCTAGCCCCAGCCTGGTCTCCGAGAGCCCCCAGTGCCACCCCTCACTTCATGAAGCTCCTGCCGGGGGCCCTCAGCCCTCTCGCCTGCTGCTCTCCGGACTCTGGGCCTCCCCCCGGGGCTCCCCCCGGCTCTGGGCCCCCCTCCGTCTCCCTCTTCTGTTTGCTCTGCTCCTGCCAGATGGGGAGAGTGGATATTTTTATCCCTTTGAAAGATGAGGACACAAAGTCAGGCAGATCTGTGACCCCGTGATGACACAGGCAGTGGTGACGGTGCCAGCTGCCCTGTCTTCCAGGCTGCCCCCATGGCACAGGCTGTGGTCACGGTGTCTGGTTTGCAGCCCTGGCCTCCTCTGGGTCTCCGGGGGGAAGACCGCACGTGGCCTCACGTCTGGCTGGGAAACGGTGGATGACCGAGTCCCTGCGTGCGGCCAGCAGGCCGGCTCTGTCCAACCCCAGCTCTGGGCTCCCATATCGTCAGAAAGGCAGGGGCTAGGGGTGACGACAGGCAGGTGCCCGAGTGGGCAGACAGGGCCTCCGGGGTGGGGCTCGAACCTGGCACAGGAGCTGTGGCTGAGGGGCTCACCCGGAGCGGGTGGTGTGGCACCGCCTGAGAACGGCCCCTGGTGGATGGTTGGCACCCGCTGTTTGCTGAACGAGTGAGTCACGGGTGCTGCCTCTAGGACCCGCTGCCTCCCCGGCACCCATTTCTCGCTGCGTGATCTCCTGCCCTTCACTCCTGCCGACCGGCTCCGTCCCAGGCTCACTGGCCGCACCCTCCACCAGTCCTGTTCCCCAGCAATCCCTGACTGCCAGTAACCCTGACCGTCTGCTGTCCTAGGGACCTGACAGACAACCAGCTGACCACACTGCCCCTGGCCGGGCTCGGGGGCCTGATGCACCTCAAGCTGAGAGGGAACCCGGCTCTGTCTCAGGCCTTCTCCAAGGACAGTTTCCCCAAACTGAGGTGAGGCCTGGCTTTCCCCCAGGGCAGCTGAGAGGCTGTGGTGGGACAGGAAAATCCTGGCGGCCAGCAGCGCTGGGTTTGGCTAAGACTGAGTGGGAAAAAGGCTCGTGTGTCCCCTTTCCTCCGTCCCAAGTACCAGCCCCAGGGGACACTGAGACCTGCGAGGGCAGAAGTAGGAAGTGGGAGAGCCCTGGACCTCCCCCACCTCACCCCGTTCTGCGCCCACGTGGCCCGTCCTCACTTGGGTAGCATCTGGGCCCCTGGAATCAGGGCAGAGCCCAGGGCGCTGACGAGTGGCAGACCGGCTGCGCGGCCAGTCCCTGGTGCTAATGACATCTAGGCCTCCTGGGTGGCCCGTCTCAGCCTGCAAACTAATGACGTCCCCGGAGGCATCTGTCCCCCGCTTCAGAGGGCAGTGAACCCAGCTCTGATGTGCCCCGGGCTGGGGGTCAGATGGCAAAGGTAAAGGTCGCCAGGAGAATCCCTTAAACAGAGAGGACGAGGTGCTGGCTGGGAGGGGCCCGAGCACCTGTGAGCAGCCCCCCACCCTGAGCCTGCTGAGGGCAGAAACTTTATCTCCCGGCTCAGTTCTCAGGACGATTGAGGAAACTGGACTCTGCTTAGAGCCCTTGAGAGCCAGGAGCCAGGTGCAGACCCGTGCACAGCGCCAGGAGGCCACCTGCACAGAGTGGGGCGCTTTGGGCTTGCAGGGCAGGCATGGGGTGCCTGGGTTGACACCCTAAATGTCCCTGAGGCGGCCGTCTCAGCCCCCTCCCCCGCCGTCCCCAGGATCCTGGAGGTGCCCTACGCCTATCAGTGCTGTGCCTACGGCGTCTGCGCCAGCTTCTTCAAGGCCTCTGGGCAGTGGCAGGCGGAGGGCTTTCACCTTGAGGACGAGGAGGCCCCGAAGAGGCCCTTGGGCCTTCTGGCCGGAAGAGCTGAGAACCACTGTGAGTGACGGGGTCCCTGGGCAGGGCAGGCGGGGGGCTGGGGGAGCAAGTTAGAGAGGAGGCCTGGGGATCCCAGGGAGGGCCACTGGTGACCTGGAGGGCACGGCCCGTGTACCTCATCTCTCCAAGGCCGTCCCCAAGGTGCTTGGGAGAGAGTAAAGAGGGTGACAATGGCAGAATAATGTCTCCGTATTCGCTGAGCCCTTGGCAGCTCACAAGGCTGTCGTACGGACACCTCTCACAAGACCCTGCCTGCCCTGGGCTCCCTGGGCCCTCCCACGTCTCCCACATGGTCTTCAGCTTCATCCATTCTCTAGTCAAGCTGAGTAGGATCGAACAGACTCAACTGAGTCCAACCCGCTTCCAAAGACAAAGTCCCCGCTGTGTCCTAGAGCCGAGGGACAGCAGCTCAGGGAGTGTCACTGTCTGCCAGTCTCGAAGTGATGCTTCAGAGGCCACAGGGTGAGAGGGCCTCTCTGAGGGGGCTGTCACAGCACAGGCCCTTAGGCCAGACTGTTCTGTTTCTGGAAGAGTTGAGGTAAAGGCACAAAGGCAGCTGGGGTCCTGAAGGACCGTCCCGAGCCTCAGTTTCCTTATCTGTGACGTGAGCGTGATGTTCCCTGTCTGCCGGGAGGCTTGAAGACCGACTGTCCTGAGCGCGGGGGCCTCTGGGGAACGGGGTGACGGCCAGGGCACAGCGTGTGGAGGCCAGTGCTGGGCAGCCCCAGGACGAGCCCCGCAGCCAGCCTGGTTCTGGGCCGCACACGGCTGTCCCCGGGACGTCCGGATGTCTGCCACACACTCCCTCAGGGGCTGGAAGCAGGAATGGAAACTCTGCTTCCTCAAGGTGAAGCTTTCCACCAAGCTAGGTCTGGGCCAAGCGTGGGCTGCCTGCCGCCCGAACAGGAGCGAGGGCAGGGCCCCCATTTCCTGTGGGAGCTAATGAGCCCGGAAGAGGAGAGCCAGGAGCTGCACTGCGGCCGCCAGGTCCGTCCTCCTCCCGTGTGAAGAGTGTGCACACCTTGGCTGCGACTCCCCAGCCTCAAACGGAGCCCCGGGTTTCAGCTCTGTATTTCATTCACGCATTTTGGTTTCACAGTATGGCTGAGCTCCATCCTGGGGAGCACCAGCGGCGGGAAGGGAAAGGAGAGAAGGGAGGAAATGCCAGGGCTCACAGACTCCAACCACCCGACAGTCGACAGTCAGGGCCAGGGGCAGCTCCATGGCCATCCTGCCTCCAGGGAACACTCCAGCTGAGGCATCCACCCTTTAAGTGGGGACGGAGAGTCTGCGCAAGAAACAAAGCTCGTGAGCCAAACACACACAAAGTGCGACAGTCACCTAGGCATGAACTAGAGGACGGGCAAGGCGCTGGCTGTGACACCTGCTCTTGTGCAGGAGTCTCATCTTTAGAAGTTATAAAATGTTGAGATTATCATTTCAAAATTCTTACAGAATTTGTGGGCCCAGAGATGTTCGATTGCCGGCCCTGCCAGAGTTCGCAGGCCTGTTTAAGAAACATCGTAAAAGCTACTAAGAAACCATGCCATTTGTCTCACACATGTGGCAGAATTTCTTGAACAATGTATTTACCTTTCTAATCCTATTTTCTCTGATGGACAGAATCACAGAGCCAGACTTTGGAATCCGAAGGATGGTTAGAGACTATCTCGAACGCAGTGCAGACGTGCCCTTTGTCACATTAGGGACCGTCTCCAGTGACAACTCATGCCTGCCTCATGCATCTGTAAAGCTCCCCATCATCGCCCCACCCCCCAAAATCCATGCTCCCCTGGGAAAGCATTGTGGTTAAACATCGGGCCGATGGGCAGACGAAGCTGGGTGTGCACTCTGCCCCTCGCTCACTGGCCGTGGGACCTGGGCGAGCAGCTTCCTGTCCATGAGCCTCGCTTCCTCATCTGCCCAGCGGTGTCATGCTGTGAAGGTTCCGGAGCCCTCACTGTGTGGTGACAGACGATCCTCGTGTGGGCCCACAAGCTCCTTAGCTCAGGGCTGTTGTGTGCACCCCTGACTAGGCACTCGCCCAGCGCCCGGTACATGGCAGACATTGGGTCCCACGTCTTGGTTGGACAACTGTACTTGTGGGACTCCTTTGTGCCAGTAAGAACTGGAACTTCTCCCTGTGGATGCAATTTGCCTCCTTCCACGACCCATCGCTTTTCCTGGCTCCAGCCTCTCGGACAACACAGCACGTGGGAGTGTGCCCAACAGTCCCTCAGTGTTTTTGGGACAGCCAGTGTGCCCCCATTCACTCTCAGCTCCCCGACTAAACACCCTACAGCTGCTGGACTGTCTCACTCACTCACTGTCCCTGGGTCACCTCCTCTGAACGCACTTCAGCTCACTGCTCTGTCTTCAGACGATGTCCTTCTTAATGCACAGTGTCCCCACCTGGACAGGGAGTAACAGTGGGGGACTGGCCCGTGCTTATCAGCTCCTGTCATCAAGGCGGCCTCCGCCCTGACTCTAGGCAGCACTCGTGGACCCAGGCTGCCTGGAGAGGGTATAGCCAGGTTACAGTAAGAACAAGTCTCGGGTAACACGTTGCTGTGAAGAGCCAGCAGTGAAGATAACCCACTCGTGGGTCACAGGCAGTGACCTAGGATTCACACCAAGGGCAGAAACCATGCGCATGGCCACTGCGGGGACCTGTGCTGAGCACAGTGACTCAGAGTGACCTTAGAGAAAGTGGGGCTTGACTGACACCAGGCCCGGGGCCCTGAACCACTTTCTGCTGTCCCCTCCCAGATGACCTGGACCTGGATGAGCTCCAGCTGGAGATGGAGGGTGCAAAGCCACACCCCACTGTCCAGTGTAGCCCTGCTCCAGGTGAGGAGGCATCTCGGCAGTGGGGGCGGGGGTGGGACCCACCTCCGGGTAGAGGCCTCTTCTCATGGTCCCCGGGGGAGGAGCTGGAGTCCTCTCCCACGCTGGCTGCTCAGGGGAGGGGCTGTCAAAGCGACCTTCACGAGTCAGCCAGTTAGAGGTGATACATCCAGGAGGAACGAACTCTCTGGAGAGAGAAGAGGGAAGACAGACGAGAGCTGGCGTGCAGGGCGGCTTCTGAGACCCGGCGAATCCCGGGCGGTGAGGCTCTGAAAGGCCCCTTCCCACCTCTCCCTTCCACCCAGGAAGACTGCAGGGTCTTTTTCAGAAACTCAGAGCGCGGGAAACCCCTGTGTCGCTGGGTAACTCCTTAGGCACTAACATACCGCCAAGGAACTCCTTGGGGCCACAGGAAAGAAAGCAAGCCTGCCTTCTCTGGTGCCATCCAAGTGAGAGAAGAACTCGCTTCTCTCGGGTGCAAAGGACCACGAGGCCAGGAGAGGCGCCGCGCTAGGAGAAGGAGCCAGGAGCAGTGCACAGTGGGCTTCTCTGTGGGGCCTCCGTTTTGCACTTTCCCGGCTCTCTTTGGCTCGGGCCCTCGGCCTTCACCCCTTGTCCCCCCTCTAAGGGGTACATGGAGCCTGCATTTCGCAGCCCACACCCGCCTCCGCGCTGGGCGGCTGCAGCGCGCCCTCTAGCGGCCGCCCGGGGCAGGCGCGCCAACGCAGGAGGCGCGCAGAAATTTCAGCTCCGAAAACCAATAATCAGCCTCAACGAGGTAAATGAGGAGGGCGTTCAAAAACGCAAAGTCCAACTTGAACTTGCTTTTAAAATGGCCCCACAAATGGCCAAATTATGGTACCTGCACATGGCGGAGTGTTTGCAAACAGCCACTGGAAACAGGAATTGGAAGAATATAAGGATTTGGGAAAGAGTGCGTGACAACATTTTAACTTTAAAAGAGGAGGACAAGTAAAACCCCAGTTTAGTTTAAAAATCTATCTATATATGTATGTATCTTTTTAATGGAAGGAAACATACCAAAATGATGAATTCTGCCTGAAAAGTGGGATCATAAGTAGTTTTAATTGTTCCATGTTATATTTTCCAAAGTTTTCTGTGGTTACCACCTATTACTTGGTACTCAGAAAAAAATATATGTTTAAAGTGTAGCTACCCAGGAAAGCCTCTCAAATCCCCACGCTACCTGCAATGCAGTGCAGAACCAGGGTCCAGCGCTAAAAGAAAGAAATACTGTCTGAAGTTACAGGGTGGTTTGAGGACAGAACCTGGGGGACAGATGGAAACCCCAGGCTCTCAGCATCCCGTGCAAGGCCAGACTGGGCAGCCCCAGAAGTCATCGGGTTTCTTTACTGTGATCTGCCTCCCAGATACTGACTGTCACTGTGAACAGTAAACGTGGCCTGTGTCACTGTCACAGAGCCAGAGAGCCAGCCTGTCCGATATACCTGGTCAGGGCCCATCACCCATTGCGAGGGCCTCAGTGGGCCCCGGCGGCCCCTCCACCTCGGTGTGTCAAATCCAGCCACACCTTGGTGCCTGCCTGTTTCTCCTCCCTCCCAAATGCTGCCCCTTTGCAAAGGCTGCTCTGCCTAACGTTTCCTCGCTGCTTGGCTGGCATTGTGCGGGCCTGAACGTGGTGGGTGCAGTGTGTTTCTATTTTCTAAGGGTGTCGGATCAGCATTGCCTCCACGGGCGGCTCCGTGGTCCTCCCCCTGACCGCAACGGGTCAGCCTCCCTCAGACGGCCATCTCTGAGGGCACAGGCTGTGTCAGCCTCCCTGGCCTTGTCCCCGGGGCCGTGTCAGGGATGACGTCTGTCCTCTCTCCCCCAGGTCCCTTCAAGCCCTGCCAGCACCTCTTCGAGAGCTGGGCCGTCCGCCTGGCCGTGTGGGCCATAGTGCTGCTGTCCGTGCTGTGTAACGGGCTGGTGCTGCTCAGCGTGTTTGCCGCCGGGCCCGGCCCCCTGCCCCCGGTCAAGTTTGTGGTGGGCGCCATCGCAGGAGCGAACACCTTGACCGGCATCTCCTGTGGCCTCCTGGCATCTGTCGATGCCTTGACCTTCGGCCAGTTCGCTGAGTACGGGGCCCGCTGGGAGACAGGGCTGGGCTGCCGGGCCACGGGCTTCCTGGCCGTGCTGGGGTCCGAGGCCTCGGTGCTGCTGCTGGCTCTGGCTGCTGTGCAGTGCAGCATCTCGGTGTCCTGCGTCCAGGCCTATGGGAAAGCCCCGTCCCTGGGCAGCGTGCGAGCCGGGGCCCTGGGCTGCCTGGCGCTGGCCGGGCTGGCCGCAGCCCTGCCCCTGGCCTCGGTGGGGGAATACGGGGCCTCCCCACTCTGCCTGCCCTACACCCCGCCCGAAGGCCAGCCGGCAGCCCTGGGCTTTGCAGTGGCTCTGGTGATGATGAACTCGTCCTGCTTCCTGGTCGTGGCCGGCGCCTACATCAGGCTGTTCTGCGGCCTGCCGCGGGGCGAGCTGGGGGCCGGGTGGGACCGTGCCATGGCGAGGCACGTGGCCGGGCTCGTCCTCACGGACGGGCTCCTCTACTGCCCCGTGGCCTTCCTCAGCTTCGCGTCCGTGCTCGGCCTCTTCCCAGTCACCCCCGAGGCCGTCAAGTCCGTGCTGCTGGTGGTACTGCCCCTGCCGGCCTGCCTCAACCCCCTGCTGTACCTGATCTTCAGCCCGCACTCCCGGGAGGACCTGCGGCGGCTGTGCACGGGGACCCCGGGGCCCCTGGCCCACGCAGCTGCCCGCGAGCTGGAGAAGAGCTCCTGCGACTCCACGCAGGCCCTGGTGGCCTTCTCCGATGTGGATCTCATTCTGGAAACTTCCGAAGCTGGGCGGCTCCCTGGGCTGGACACCTATAGCTTCCCCTCAGTGACCCTCATCTGCCAGCAGCCAGGGGCCCCCAGGCTGGAGGGCGGCCACTCTGTAGAGCCAGAGGGAACCCTCTTTGGGAACCCACAACCCTCCATGGATGGAGAACTGCTGCCGAGGGCGGAGGCAGCCATGACGGCCGGTGGGGGCCTGTCGACCAGTAGGGGCGTCCAGCCCCGGGGCTCAGCCCTCGCCTCACGCTTATAAACGTCCCTCCCATTTCTTCGCTTCCCTCTCCTTCCCTCCATGAATGATGGCTGCTTGTCAAACAGATTTGACCCCAATTCAGCAGCGTGGCCGTAGCAGGATGTCCCAGGCCCGGTCTACACGGGTCTCTGCACTTGGCAGCTGTCGCCAGGGTGCTTCCGGCCTGGTTCCCTCCAGGCCTCTTCCCAGTCACGTCTGAAGCTGTGGACCAGAGATCTGGAAACCTGCCTGCTTAAGGGAAGAGAGGGAAACCCAACACAGTGCCAGGCTCGTGCGGGATCAGGGAATGACGGCAGGAGGCACCTACAAGGGGACCGCCACAGGCCTGTGGGCATCTGCCCGCAACTCCTGGGTGGCACAAAACGTGCTGGTGTCCCATTCGTCCTGAGATGTGCCATGCCAAAAGACTGTGTATTACGAGCTTGGGAAGATATGACACACCACGTCCCTTCTTACAGGGCCCAGTGCATTGTCGTGCAGGGAAGGCTCTGAGCGTTCCTGCAGCAGTAAAATTGTTGGCCTGTTTTAAACCCAGTTCCCCAAATTATTTAACGGCAGGTTTTGTTTGCCTGTTTGGTTTTCGTGGAGTATCTGAGAACGTGTCACAGAGTTCCCTGCTGTCCCCCACCGGCCTCATCTCCGTCCCACCTGGCACTGCCCAGTGACCCCCGCGGGATCACACCAGTCCCCGAAGGCCCTGATCCCAGCTCGACCTGGGCAAAGTGGGTGAGTCATCTACCAGAAGGGACTACACGCTGCTGTCCACTCCTGCTGTCCTTCCCCAGGAAGGAGGGGACGAGCCTGTCGTGGTGGGACCAGCCTCAGCCGCCAGACACTTCTGCCCTCGGTAAGAGGGGGGCTCCCGGCCCCGGGCAGGTGTGCACAGGCGAGCCTGTGGTTGTCTGGCTTCCCTGTTTCCCCATCACATGCTGCGTCTCGCCGGAGCCTGAATGTGGTGCTGTCGTTAGGTGGGATGCTGGAGTCAGACAGGTCCAGTTTGGGGCCAGACTGCCACTAAGAGCGGCTCGTCCGTGGGCTTGACGTAGCTTCATCATCACACAGCGGGGTGATGGCAGGGCCTAGACCCTGCAGGCTCCGGAAACCCCTGGAAGAGAGTTGTCATGTAAAGAGCCTAGCTTGGTGCCTGGCACGTGAGCACGTGGGAAACGTTAGCCGCTCTTGTTATCACTTACCTAGCTCCACGCGTGCGGCCGTCTGGGGCCACCTCAGCTTGAGGAGGGAACGGAGGGTCCTGGGGGCTGCTCCTGAGAGGAAGGCGGGCGCCCGGCGGGGTGCCTGGCGGCAAGGCTGTGTTCATGGGGACACCGCTGATGCTATGAAGGGACCGCGGGCCGTGAGGGAGGAGCCTCCCTGGTCCCCTTCTGAGGTCAGTGGGGGAAAGGACGTTCCCCAGAAGGGACCGCTGCCCAACCTGAAGCTGTCCAGACTGTCTGGACAGAACCAGAGGAAGCCACCTCTGCTGGGAGGGTTGGGGAAAGGCCTCCTCAGGCCACCGACTTGCATTTCCTGGTTGAAGGACGAGGCCATGGAAGGGAGGGGCCACAGTCTAGCAGGGTGGGTCACCTGTCACCCAACAGAAACTGAGATGGAGAAGGGATGGGCGCCCTCAGGGGCCTACGGCAGGAGCCGGGGGCCACGTGCCAAGGAGCATGGAGAACTGGGCTGGGTTGTTTCTGGGCAGACTGCGTCTGTGCCCGTTCCCCCAGCCTGTCTCCAGCCTGCCCCGGCCTCACCGGCAGCCCTGTGCAGGACTCCAAGTGGCCCTGCCGGCACCAGCCTGGGGGACAGGTTCTGAAACCACAGCCCCACCCCGCTCCCAGCGCTTGCGTCCCTCAGGCCGCCCCAACCTAAACAAGACAACCTGGGAAGGGGGCCGCACGCTGATGGAAAAATACACACTTGGCTGGAAAAGGAGCTTTATTTGTATGTGTTGAATTCCCACAGCAGCCGAGGGATAAATAGCTGGGCCAGCCTAGCTCCGAGACTGCCCACGAGGTGGGTGGCAAAATCTGTTCTGATTTAGATCGCTTTGGGGGAGCGCTGGGGAGGGGAGCTTGGAATCTGCAGAGTTTCTGTGACCAGTCACGGATGTCATCTCTCTCTAATTAGGGGTTTGGAGCTGAGGCAGGGCTCAGCTGGCCTGTCCTGGAGCAGAGCCCAGTGGTGAGCAGGCACAGGGCAGGGCAGGCTCCACCCGTCCCCTGCTACCACTCAGTGACACCAGCGCTGGCAGCACTGTGCCAGGTTTCACGTGCGTCATCTCACGCCGTGCTCACACAGCCCCGGCAGTTAGGTCTGTCATTCCCGCGTTTTACAGGAGAATCTTGGAGTGTGGAAGGGTGGCATGGCACACCGGGGCACAGTCGGTGACCCTGAGTCCTGCTTTAAGCCCCGCCCACCATTCCTCAGGCCGGGGCTGGGGACTGGGCTCTTCTTTTTTTTTTTTTCCACTCGTGTTCTCTAGCCCAAGTCCTCATACTTGTTGAGTCAGAGGTGGACGGATGGCTTCGAGTGACTTGCACTTAGAGAAGCCCCTGCAGCCACTGCCCCCGGGACCTGCAGTCAGACAGTGCACCCACGGGCGCGTTTTCAGATGGGCGCCGTGCTGAGTGACATCGGTCCTGGCAGTGGGCTGTGGGCCAGGGTGCCCGCGACGCCGCTCTCCCTTGGAAGGGACAGGACCCTCCGGGGTGGCTGCATGTGGGCTGAGACTGTCGGTCAGTGTAGGAGGCAGGGGGACGGCATACGTGCAAGTGCTGAGGCAGCCACAGCTGCGTGCGGTCCGCAGCCCGAGTCCGCCTGTGTGTCTGCCGCATGGTGTTGGGTGGCGGAGCAGGAGTGGGACAGATAAGCAGGCAGTGGCTGGGCCAAGTCCCGAGGGCCAGGGCAGGAGACCGGACTTGTTTTTCTAATTGTAAAAGGAAGCTGCTTGGAGGATTTTAAGGAGCAAAGTCAAATCTGGCTTTTACATCATGAAAAGATGATTCTTGCTGCTGTGAGAAGTGTGGACGGTGGAGGGTCAAGGCTGGGGGCAAGGAGACAAGGTAATGGCTGTGACTAGTGCAAGTGACAGATGATGGCGACTGGAACTAGTGTTAGAGGTGGAGGTGGGGCCCCTGGGCCGGACTGGGGATGGACCGGTTGTGCAGGGTTTTGTCCTGCAGGAGGCGCTGCATTCATCCCACTGTCCCCGAGCCTGTCTCCCTTCACATTTGGGCTTCACTGCAGGCAGCACATGGCATTTCGTGGCCAGCAGCTGGGTTCAGGGTGGTCCAGTCACAAGGACTTTGTTCAAGGCCCCCTGGAGGGAGTCAGGAGGCACCTAGCTGGCTGGTGCTGCTGCTCACTGCGGGAGGGGGACAAGGGTTGGGGCGGGCAGCCGAGGCGAAAGGTGTCACTCTGGACGGCGGAGTCTGCAGCCACCAGCGCAGATGCTCGCCCTGCCCTTGCGATCATCCCCTTCTGACTTGGGAGTCGTTCACAACTTAGCGCCCTAGCTGGCCACTAATGGGGTCTGGGAACCCCCAATTGGGCTTCACTGTGCGTGGGCATAGGGGACAAGACGGGCTTTAAAGAGACCAGTGACTGGCTTGAGAACTGGGCTCAGGAATGCTGTAGAAGATGGGAGTGTCTGCCACCATGTCACTAATGGGCTGTACGAATTCACGTTCTTGTCTCCTGGGCCTGAGCCTGACACACGTTCTGTGGCTGCTGAGGGCCAAGGGGACTCCCATGTGGACAAGTGGACTGCCTGTCAGACGTGTGCTCCGTGCACGGTGCCCCCTGCCCAAGGGGTCACAGCACTGCGACACTGCAGGACTTCGGTCCTCACGCCTGCCTGCCTGCAAGTCTCGCTCAGCACGCCACCCTCTTTCCACTTCAACTGGTTCCTGTCACCTAATAGGGTCCTAAAGGCAAGTCCAAGTGTCCGATAAAATCGCGAGGACAGGATTCAAGTTTGGCACCTAGTTGTTCAGAGTGGGACTTGCCATGAAATGAAGTTGGAGACAGAAAGGGGATGTAAAAATCGCTCCTTACCTTTGTACAATTGTGGGTTAATCCCATGTCTGATTTTTCTCCCCACTGTGTTCTGAAACCCTAGCACAATGCTTGGTACATAGTAGGTGCTCAGTAAATATTTGTTGAACAAAAGAAAGTTATACCACAGTAATCCTGACAAGCTGTGTAACTCAAAAAGTGGAAGCTGCAAAACAGCTGACCAAAGGATATGTCCCTTACGCCCACGCTGCGTACGACTGCTGAAACCTAGGAAGGCCTAGGAAGACTAACTGAATCGTTCCTAACAGCTCTTGCACGTCTGTGTCAAACACTCAGAGTCCCTGGGGATGTCGGTAAGTTGGCAAAATAATGGACAACAATTCCAACTGTTTCCCATTCTCATTGTGTAGCTCTCTGGCCCGTGTGCTCCCAGACACACATGCAGGATAAACACATACTCAACATTAAGTGATTATTTATTTTTCAGGTTTCAAAATACGTATGTCAAGCTAAATAAAACAAACTACGTTTCAGAATCAATGGAGAGCAGAATGTATAAAAATATACAAGGTCTGTTTTATAGGGAACAACAGTGATAGCGTCGTCGCTCGAGAAAGGCAGGCCGACGAGCCCATCTTGGCAAACAGCGCATCAGCTGAGACGCCCGGCCGGCACCACAAGCCCCTGAGCATCAGGACGGCGTCTCTTCTCAGTGCCTCCCGGCTGCCCGGCCTTCCTTTTCTGGGTCACACTGTGCACTTCTGAGTCACCGGCCTCTGGCAGGTCCCCAGGCATCTCCCGCTCGTTATCCTGAGGGGTAAACATGGCACAGCGATGCCAGGGCAGAGGTCCTTCTGTGCCGCTTCCTGTACCCGCTGTTCCCTCCGGCAGCTGCTCCCCAGCCTTCCGCATGTTTTCATTTTGCACTGCTTTGCACAGTGACACTAACTTAGCCTGAAGGATGTTCTCATGCAGCAAGAACCAGGGTGTGCTCACCTCCGAGTCCCCGCCGTTCGTATTTTGTTAAATGAGGAAACTGCGAACTTACACTGGGGAAGTTTTTCCTCCTCCGTCCCCCACAATGGTCCCGTAAGAAAAGCCAACCTCCCCTCCCTCCTGTACCCCTCGCCCCTGCCCAACTCCTGCAAATATCGCCCCTTCTCAGTGTTAACAAGAAATCAGAAAAAGGATCTGCACCACCTCGCATCTATCCATGCCACCCCAAGCATAGAAAAAATGAGCCGGCTGCCGCCTGCCCTCTAGTGTTGCCTACAGGTGACAACTGTTGGGAAAATCCGTTGGTTGAGCTACGAGGCTATTTTGCTGAATAATCATTTAGAAGATTCCAACAGGAGAAAAAGATCAACTAGCCATCCTAGAGTAAGTACACGTTTGGCAAATCTACTAAACACTAATACACATCTAGATACAGACCCCTTTCATGGGCTAACAGCAGCGGCAAGATCAGAGCTGTACAAACATCATACCTTCTGTCTCGCGTGCTTCTCTGTCCACTGCCTGGCATTCCTGAGGAAGACTGGCTTATTATATTTAAATTCTGAGGACTGAGACAAAATAAAAAAAGAGTCAGCCAAGAGAAAAGGGAACTGCAGTGCAAAGTGCCGGCTTCCCCGCGTCCTCCCAAACAGAGAGCAGAGGCATCGAGGAAGCAGGCAGGGGCCCGACAGGAGTTACGAGGACACCTACTATGTCAGCCATGAGCGGGTCATCAGGGTTGGGCTCTGACATGAGCAGCTGAATGGAGGTCAGGACAGTTGCAATGTTGAGGGATGGTCTCCAGGCACCCTACACACAGACGGACAGGCAGCTGCTTGTCCAGGACTGAGAAAGTGAGGACCACTGAGTGCTGTATCCAGCCCTTTACCCACGACTCACTTTTGGTGGCAATTTGAGAATATCCAGACAAATCCTTCCAGCAGAGTCGATGTTTGGATGATAGATAGGAGTCAGAAATCGGATCTGAGGAGGTTCAAATGGGTACCTTTGAAAGCACAGGGCAATAGGGAAGCTTTATTAAAATACTGCTTCTTAATACATTATAAACAGCTTCTTGGAAGACAGCCCTTGAGTCACAAACCTTTTCTGCCCCAAAATTTATCATGGAAACTTACAAACAATCGAAAAGTTGAAATGACAGCAGTAAACACACTCATATGCCTGTATAATGTGATCAAGCCAGTTCACTCTCTAAGTATTAAATCATGACAGGTTTAGCATGAAAATCCAGGATCCTCAACTGCTACATTTAACACTCTTCCAATAACTGCGTTTTACCCTGTACGTTTAGAACCGATTCACACTTACCTCTCAGGAACGATAACCTCCAGCTTGAACACACCTTTTTCATAAGGTGTGTTGGCCCCACCTAATATTTCTTAAAAGGAAAAGAAAGAAAAAGTTAAGAGGTGATTGGATTATCTGAATTACACCACATGGACCCAATCTTCCAGAGACGCTGGGTCTAGGGCAGTAATTCTCGCTCAGGGCTTTAACCAGTCCTCATACAATGCGCCCCAAAAGTGGAGGGTGTCAAGCCAAGGACACACAGGAGATCAAAACGGAAGTTGGGACATGCAGGCCCCGGATCGCACACAGCCTGCACATCTGCTTTGTCTGGACTGCGGATTCTAAGCACTTCGTTTCCTGTCCAGCCTCACGGATATGAGATAAACGCTGCTTCAGAGCTGAAGCCCAAATCTTGGCTACAGATCAGCAGAAGGCATAACGTAAGGCCAAAGAAGAAACGCCACGCCAACCTTTTAGAAATGCAAATCAATTCGGGTGGGAAGCTGAAGTGTGGGCACTCTGCCCTCACAACTGTTCCCCACTGCACAAGAATACTGCCCGTCACTAGGGCCACGACCCACCGCCGGCGTGCTGATACTTACGCGCCCGCAGATCGCCCATCTGGTCGCTGTCTTGCCAGCACGTGATGCCTGGCGGTGGCTCCGTGGCTAACTGGTCCAGCTCTCTCTTCAGACGTGACGCTCTCTGCATGATCCCCAAGTAATGGATACCCCACACAGTTCACCAGGCCACGCTAAAAGCTGGCCGCGACTCTAGGGAGAAAAGGGACAACCGTGAAATAGACAGCAACGGTGACTGGGGTTTTTAGCACATGGCTTCAATTAACTGAAGGACAAAGAGTTTCCTCATATCAACCCCTGTTCTGAGAAGGGAGTCTTGAGTTTTTTCCATTCCTTCTGGTTATCTATTCAAGCAAACAAATTTTAAAAATAAAGTATAAAATATGCAAAAAGTTCTACAAACAACAAAAAGACTAGATATTTTAGATCGGTCTGTTTCCACTGGTAGACTACAAACTCCTGAGGCAGAACCTGCGCCTAGTTCTGCTCACACAGCATCGTCAACATGGCCGGACAGGAAGGGACGGATGACTGTCAGCTATGGAGAAAACCTACACGTGTTTGGTGAGGAGCGCGAGGACAGTGACAAGGACAGAGTCATGACTCTGAGATATTTATAAGCTAATGTTTAAGTGTCTGAGGTATATGTAAATATAACCGAGTTTTAACCAAAACCTTAATAATGCAAATGATGGGTCTACGTGGGTGGTGAGGCTGGGTCGGTAACGCTACAGCGTGGATCCACAAGTCGTCACTTAGGCTCCCCTTCCAGTCCTCCTCCTGCCTCCTATTCTGGCTGGAACTTCCCGTGCAACGCGGAGTGAAAGAGCTGTGGCACACGAGAAGGTGCCGCCATCGTTCGTCACTAGGGGAAACGCAAGTCAAAACCACAGTGAGACAACTCCCCACGGCGAGGATAACTATGATCAGAAGGATAACACCTAAGCGTTGGGAGGATGGGGAGAAGCTGGAACTCTCGCACGTTGTCGGGGAACGCACACTGATGCAGCCGCGTTGGGAAACAGCCTGCCAGCTCCTCAGTGCTTCTTTAGCACAGGCTACCTTGTGACCCTGCAGTTCTAGTCCTGAGTTTATACTCCAGAGAACTGAAAACACATCCACGCAAAAATCTGTACCCGAATGTTCACAGCAGCATTATTCACAAGAGCCAAAAAACAGAAACCCAAATGCCCGTCAGCTAAAGAATGAAAACACAAGATGCGGATTTAAAAACTATATCAATGGCTTCAAATCTTGCATTTATAGCATCAGTAAGGATCTGAGTCACTTACATTTCCAAGTTATACTTTACAGTATTTTATGAGGGGAAATTCTACAGTGTGTTTGAGGATTCCGATATGGGCTCTATCTCAAGAGCCCTAGTAAATGTCAAAGGTCCGTAACACTGTATATATAATTAATACCTTTTCTTAGACAGAAAGCTCTTAATCGGCAAATTTCCTGTTTTCTTTCTGTTTTGCTCAGGTGACTGTCGAGCTTAATAAACGATTTCAAATACACGGTGGGAGATCAAGTGGGGACATTATGGAAAAAGGTCCCCTTTTCAGGCTGGGCCTTCCGTGGGCGCAGCCTCGGCCTGGTTCTGTTTTGCAGCCTAAAAACTCAGTTGGGCAGTAACCCGAGATCCCACGGGGCTTAGCTGTGCTAGTGCGTGCTGAGATCACTGAGAAAGACTTAAACATTAATTAAAAGGTCAGTTTCTTAATTTGCGAAACGACAGCCAGAACTTTAATTCCACACACGCTCTCCCTAAACAAGTCTGGAAAACTAACGCGAGTCAGGTTCGGCGGTGGGCACAGGCTGTGGTGGGTGGGAAGGGGGCACCTGTCGTACCCACAGGTGTCTGTGTAACGGAGGCTACGGAGGCTGGTTGGGGCGGGGCTCGCTCAGGGACCGCGCTGCCGGGGCGACGCGAGTGGTCCTGTGCGTGTCCTTTCCCGCATCTCCAGGCAACGCGCCGGTTCCGAAAGATGAATGCAGTTAGCAATTCGATAGGCGAGCTAATCTGTTACACAGGACGCGCAGGAGCCTCTCAGTAAGCAGACACCGAGACTCCAGGGCCTCAACAGGAGGACCCGCAGGTAACACAAAAGGAAGCGGCGCGCAGGCGCGTAGCCGGGTGGGGGCCGGGTGGGAGCCTGGCCGCGTTAGGTGACTTCCCATCGGCGGTGCCTCGCTGGGCAGCCCCGTGGAGCGGGGGCCCCGAGCCGACGCCGCCAGCGCGTCCGTCCGCCCGTGCGACTCCCCACAGGCCGGCCGCCCCGACCCCGAGACGCGCGGACACCGCCCGACCCGGTGGGGACTCACCGCAGACACACGGGGCCTCCGCGGGGACCTGAGCTCCGGCCCTGCGCCCCGGACCCGACCGCCTTCTCTGCGCCGGCCCCAGCGACCCGGTGCCACCGCGCAGGCGCCAGCCGGTGTGGGCGTCGCCCCGCCTCCGCCCGCGCGCGTCGCCATTGGCCCGCAGCGAGGCAGGGGACGAGCGCAGCCGCCCATTGGCCCGCGCGCGGGGCCGCGTCTCTTCAAATGGGAGCGCGCGACGCGGCGCGTTCGGCTCGGACGCCGGCCGCTCGGCTCGGTGAGCGCTGCGTGCGGGCGGCGCTGTTGCGGGGCCGGCCCTGTGGGTGGGAGCGGGGGAGGCGTGGGAACCACCTCACCTGACGGACGGCGCCGGGATCGTGGCACTTCCCGTCTTTTAAATATTTCCACTTGGAGGAGGATGTGCTTCCGAGGACGCGTCTAAGGCCGATGGGGACGTGAAGGGGTGCGGAGGTAGCTCCGCGAGGCGTCCGGGCCTTTAGAACTCAGAGCGGAACCGGCGCCCTTGAGCGGCGGTTCTTCCCTCGCCGCGAAGGGCTCCTGCGCGGGGCGGATCTCCCGGCCCTGACCGGGGAAGTTCCTGTGGACATCAGCCGGCGCTGCGAAGGCTCACCCCTGATGGCTCCCAGAGGGCTGGCCGGAATCGACTGGCCTCTGGGAACACGCCCCCCCAGCCCCGCCCAACCCTCATCTCCCCGCTCGCAGCTCACTGCCGGCTTTGGAGCAGTGATCGCTTAGGAGAGACGGTCGGTCTCCCCAGACTTGCCAACCAATTGTGACCCCTGCGGGGATTTCTGCATTTAGTCCACTTTGCCCCCCCCCACCCCCCGTGACCACCGCATGGTCTGTGGTCTCTGCTCGAGAGACCCACACATTCCCTAGGGCTCTGTCCAGTGGCCGCCCTGGGGAGCCTCACACTGGTCGTCGGAATGAACCGACGACAGCAGCTTGTGCATGACAAGCATGCGGAGTCCGGTTGCCCATCTGCCTCCCGGGTGGCTGTTGGCGTTCTGCATTTATTGTTAGCGTTTGCTCGTTGCAGTGCAGTGTTTGGGTCATGACTCTGGACCTGGCTGCTTATTTTATTACTGACATTTTCTGGTTTAACCCTTCGATGTCTTCTTTTCTTCCCACCCCAGCTGTAATTGTATCTCAGTTACAGGCCTGTCTTCAGAACTGAAACTGATTTCCTCCTTGGGTGGCTCTCTTTGAAACGCGTCTTAGAAAGGTCTCTTGGAAAAAGCAGAAACTCCACTGAGTCTGGTGGAAAGGAGAGATGGTATGACAAAACGAGCAAATACCTGTCGTTTTGGCAACCAAACGGAAAGGATTGGATAAAAGAAAACAGAAAAAAAAAAACCTCCTTGGGCTGAATGTACAGTTTCCATTTGTCCACCAGAGGGAGGTATGTTAGCTGGTGGGAATAAGGGCCAGGCTCAGGGACTTGCATAAGCTGGGCACAGGTCTCATTGCTTTTAAAAACAGTATTCTAATGCTGTAATTTACTTTTTAAAGTGCGTATGTGGGAAATTATTTAATAAAAGTTTCTTCACTTTATACGAGAATATATGCACATCATAGCCAGCTCACTTTATACGTTTAAATGTACAAAAGTTATATTGTGTGACTGCAAATTAATGCACATAGTAAGGAAAACAAGGTTATATAAAGTATATGTTATTACACCTTTTATACACATTGTTATTCACAGTTTGCAAAGGTGCTATAAGACTTCATTAGTATTTATAAAGTATTTAAGAATACCTACTGTGTGTGTACGAATGCTCCTTCTCTCCGCGCACATTGACACGGTGATTACATGTTAAGGCATTATATGTTATAATGTTAATAAACTCTAGATGGAGAGCCAGGTACTTGATGCCTCGTTTTCCCCCAATAGAAAATAGGGACAATGACTCTCTTTTCCGCTTCACACAAGGACTGATGTGATCATTAAGGGGCCAAGATTAGTTGAGAGTCACAGCAAGCACAAACTACGACTCCCAAAATGCCCAAAGAGCTGCCGCGGGTCCGGGAGCCTGTTCCAGCTCTAGGGCAAAGGTGACCCCGCCGCCGGGTCCCGCGGCCAAGGAGGGAGCTGCGGCGCTCGCCCCTTTCCTGATGCATCCAGGGATTTGTGGTTCCCAGCAGGCCGCGGGGTGCCCCTGAGGCGGGTCTCCGACTACAAGTCCCGTGAGGCCCCGGGGCGCGCCGCGCCTGCGCGCTGAGGCCGAGGGGCCGCGCGGGCGGCGCTGGCGGCGGAGGAGTAAAGATGGCGGCGCGGGCGTCTCCGCCTTCTGCCCCCGGCTGACGCGCTCCGGGGGAGGCGGCGGCGGCGGCGCGAGCAGCAGCGACCTAGCAGCCGGAGCGCGGCCGCGGCGGCCGAGCCCGAGCGATGGCCGAGCTGGAGCACCTGGGCGGGAAGCGGGCCGAGTCGGCGCGCGCGCGGCGGGCGGAGCAGCTGCGGCGCTGGCGGCGCTCGCAGACCGAGCAGGAGCCCGCCGAGCGGCAGCCGCGCACCCGCCGCGGGGGCCCCCGGGTCCGCTTCGAGGACGGCGCGGTCTTCCTGGCCGCCTGCTCGAGCGGGGACACGGACGAGGTGAGGCGGCTCCTGGCCCGGGGAGCCGACGTCGACACGGCCAACGTGGACGGCCTGACAGCCCTGCACCAGGTGGGTGCGCGCGACGCGCGGGGCGCCCCGCCGCGCCCTGGGTTGTCATGGTTACTGGGGACCGGGCCCCGGAGCCGTCCGCGTGCCTTCGCGGCTGCGCGCGGGGGCCGCCGTCGGCCCGGCGCCCTTTCGCGGACCCCGTTTCCCGCGCGCGCGGCCCCGCTGCCGAAGCCTGTCGCGGAAGGAGCGAACCCCAAAGCCGGGAGGGGGCGCCGGGCTGCGGACACCGCCGCTCGCGTCGGGCCGGGTCGCAGAGAGCGGAGGCCTCGCGCCCGGGACGCCCCGACCCCGGCCCGGGGGTCCCCCGCTCAGCGCGCCCCCCCCTGCGGCCTCGCGTGGGAGCCGCCCCGCGGGGCCTCCTCCGCTCGTCTGATCTTTTTTCCCGGGCCCTGAGCAGCACGGCCCGGCCCGGCCCACGCGTGGCGACGCCTTCGCGTGTCTCCCTGTGCGACGGTGTCTGTGTGTCCGACTGCCCGCGGCCCCCCCCGCGGGGCTCCGTAGGTATGTGGTGACTGAGCGCTGGACCCCCACTCTTCATCCCGCTTTCCTTCCTCCGCTGCCCCCGCAAAGCGCGTGTGTGGGTGCGAGAACCCCCTTCTACCGAACAGTTCGGTTCCGCGTCGCGGCGCTGGGCTCGGCGCCCCGGCCAGCAGCTGTGACTTCTCCTCCCCGCGTGTCCCCGCCTCTCGGCCCCGTCCCGTGCGCTGCTTCTCGCCTCGTAGCGGTGCCCTGAAGCCGCCGCCGACGCTTGTCTGGCTTTTTGCTGCTTGAACTTATTTCTCAGGCCCCTCCCCGTGGGAATCTCTGCAGGGACCCCGGGAAATAGATGCGTCGGGTAGTGTCGCTCTTCCCGGGGGAGGAATCTGAGACTCAGAACCGCTACCTGGGCGAGCTCTGAAAGGAGGAAATCAGGCGTGGACTTTTCAGATGTAAATTCTAGAGCTTTACATCCCACCCGATGAAGAGCTGGCTATAAATAAGGTGGACGCTGGGAGGCCCACGTTCCTTGTTTTAAATCTCTGAACTCTGAGAAGGTGGATGTTATTTTTCCAGTGTATCCGGGACGTTAAGGAGGCTGAGAGCTGGGTTCTGGAAGGGACCGTTTCATGCGCTCAGGAAGGACTGAGAAGTCCAGGCCAGCTCTGTCGACCATGTGTTCCTTCAGTGAATCCCCGTTCCACCCAAGCAGTTTTCTTAGTGAAACTTAGGAGCCCTTTTCGTTTACGGTGACGCTGCCAGCTGAGTCCCATCCTGACCGTACACATTTCCGCTTCGCTCTGAGAAAAGCTCTGACTTGGAGGACACTCTCCTTCCGGTACCAGGTCACCACTTTTCTGACCCTTCTCCTGAGAGTGACCCCCTTGGTGTCTTTCCTTCTCCCTCCGCTCCCACCCCAGGTTGTGAGATGCAGTAGTTAATATACTCTTCACATTCAGTAATCTCTTGAAACAGGAGTGGAAGGAGATGACAGCTATGGAATTTTTAAGAACACTTGCAGACATAATACAGTTGGCGCTCCGCATCTGTGGGTTCTGAGAGCTGACAAAGGGACTTGAGCATCTCAGATTTGGGGATTCCGGGGTGGCCTGGAACCCATCCCCTGCGGATACTGAGGAACGACTGTATAGGAAGTTCCTCCCTATTTACGGGGCTGACAATGAATTGACTTGAATAGGTGTACTCAGTATGAGACAAACTCAGCTAAAGATGAAGCTACTGGAAGACCTGAGGTCAAACAAACCTTGTCTTGAGAAACCATCTCTTTGAATCATGACACGGGTCCCTTATTGGCTCAGGAATTCGCCCAGACTCAGTTTCCGCAGTTACAGTGTTTCTCCACGGCCTGAAGAACTCTTAGGTACATAAAAGATTATGTTCAAAATGAAATTGGAGCCGCCAGTAGCTGGACAACCTACTTTATGACTGACTGTCCTGCGGAATTGAGAGTGGCACCATTACCTGAGTTACTTAATGAAAATATCCATCTGTTATACAAGCATGATATGAATCGTAAGCATAATTGCTTCCTTTCTTTGTTCTTTCGGCCACAGCCTCTAGACCATGTGGGTTATCATCTTGTCTCGTTGGGAGAAACCCCCAGATGGTATCGGGGATGATTTCCTCCTGCCCCCGACAAGGTCACAATAGGAGATTCGCACTTCAGGTTGTGGTGCTTTGATGCTGCTTTTGACTTGGAGACCTTTCTTTCTTGGCAGCCTTTGCTTTGGCCACGAGGTGCTTGAATCAAAGATAACAAGCTCCAGGGGGCCTATTAATAATACTGGAAATAGACTGGGGATAAGAAGTATCTCAAAGGTTAGACCTACTCTGATGGAAGCCTTGGACATTGATACAGACTAAACTTGGGTGAATAAATTAAGATTTAGTGTGTATGTCCTTAGTGTAGTGGGGTCTTCAGTGAAAATGGAATTAATCTGAATATGTAACCCTTGAAACCACTTGCTTGCTCACAGAGGAATCCCCCCTTCATTTATGTATATATTTTATAGGGCACGAAGCGTGGCCCAACACTTCTGGGTGGGTGAACTTCTGAACATTTCTTTGATTTTTATTTATTTATTTTGCAAAGTTGATTATTAGCGCCTGTCCTGGTGTCTTTAGCATTATGATCTCTTGTGCTTTAGGGCTAGATACAGGCTCTTAAAACTGTATCTCCCAAATTATTGGACTGCTGTGAGGGGCAAGTGCTTGTTTTCGGAAAGGAGATTTTTCTGGGATTTGTTGAAATGAATACTGGCTTATTCCTTTAGAATATATGGTATTGACACTTATACCTGTGCTAGGTGTGGTGGAGGGTACTAAGGTTGTCCACACAGGTCTTTTCTCCACGTCAGTGTGATCAGCCTTCGTTTGGAGGAAAACCTCGGAGACGAGGAGGGTTCTCTGCTTGACTGCAACACTCAGGTTGGTTTTAGAATGGCCTCAGAGTCCAAGTTTGGACTTCAGGGTCACCCCGGCTGGAATTCAACTCCTGGTAGACTCTGTCATCCTAGAGCTGCCTCAATCCTCAGGGAGATTAAAATGATCTTTCTGTGGAAGGGGGTGGAGAGAGGCGCAGATGAGGCAAGGAGGAAGCAGTTCATATTCGTGCCGAGTAAGGCCGGCCACAACTAAGACAATGTGATCAGGTCGGCACAAGACAGCACGTCTGTGTGCCCACTTGACTGGTAAACTCGAAGTTGTGTTCTTAACCCTTTCTCTATATTCCCAGTTCACCACTCCTTCCTGTTACAGTTCTGTGAAGCCCGCCTACTGTCAGGACCCAAGGCAGTGTGGGATGAAACTCCTGAGGCTTCACCGCTGCGGGTCCAGAATCGTCATCCGATTATTTTGTAGTGTCCGCTTCAGGTTGGCTCCTGTGATGCGTCAGACCATGCTGGGCGTGTACAGCCTTAGAGAGAGCAGTGTCAGTACTAACAACATGTTTTGAGGACTTGAGGGGAGATTATATGAGGTTTTTTTTCCTGTTAAGGGTGATTTAAGTTAGTCTTTCTGTTGACTTTTGGAACAAAAAAAAAATAGATCTATGATCAATATGATTGTAACTGTAAATTAGGGCCCAAAGTACACAAGAAGACTCCTACAAAGCTGGTTTCTGGCTGGTTCAAGTGGCTTCATTATTGATGAGTTTAGAATGTTTTAGGATATTAAACCCAACCTTAGAGACTGGAAGGTTATCTTCCTATCACTGAAGGGCTGATTAGCTAATTCAGGTTATTTTATTTCCCCGTTCTGGTTTGGCCGTTTCTCACTCTTTAGTGTTGTCACTGGAAGGCAGCTTTAGGGGAGCAGTGACGGGGAGGTTAGTACCTTCAAGTTTCTTCTGCCATTTATTCTTTCATATTTATTGAAAGCCTACTTAGCATGACTCTGTGCTTCTTGTTAATTGTTGCTTAGCAGTTGATACATTTTAGAACCGAAATAGAATTTTGGGAATACATTCCAGAATAGCTGGTTCCTATTTTCATTTATTATAGGAAATTGGCTACATAGTGACTTTCTATTCTAGCATTCTGGCTCCTGGAGGTTGGAGGGGGAGGATTATATTCATCAGTATTTGTGACTATTTTCATCTATGCGTATGAATGAAAATGATCATATTTTATACCTTTCTACCTAAAGATGGTGAAAGATGGAAGTTTGGGATCTTTAATAGATCATTGGTGGTTTAACATAGTAATAATAGATAACAGATTAAAGATCTTGACCCAGAATTTCATGTAGTGCAAAGAATTTCACCTCATTTGGACTGCTCATTGAAGCATGCCTTAATTTGTTGACTTTGTTGTTGTTGGGTTTATTTCCTGCTTTTGAAGTGTAATTTTAAAAAATTGTTTCATAAATCTTAGATTTTAGATTGTAACCAGTATAAGTAAATTTTAGGGGCTTGAAGTTTTATCAGGTATGCAGAGTTTATATTTGTTTCATGAGTCCATTTAACTGGAAAACTGAAGCCTTAGCTCTCAATATTGAAAATTGACCTGTTTGAGGTTTCTAATACAACATTGAACTACACTGTAGTTGTGGGATGGGTTTATCTAAGAATTTAGAAAGGATTTTGTATTTAGTATAGTTAAATACTGTAATACTATGACAATCTGTTGGAATCATATTCTAATGCAGTTTTGGAAATCTTGATTGGCTGTTACATTTTTATGATTACTTGTTGTTGGACAAGGGCGAGGAGTCCCATGTCTGCCCTATGATTTCTGCTTTTAATGAAATTCTGCTGGTGCCTCCAGAGAATTCCTGTTTCGCACCTGGTAGCCCCATCTTAAGTCAATTTTACGAGGTTCAGTTTGGCCAATGGCTGCCAGCAATGATTTATTGACTAAACTGTGGCTTTCTCGGGTCCTACTTGTAACTGATAAAATGAAAGACGCTACATTTTCAACATTGGGAAACTAGCCCAGAACTCCAACTCGGCGTCTACATGCATACATTTAATTATTGTAAATTCTGCTCACCCACCCAACAGT